TTCCAGAAGCCAATATTTCCATTCAATGTAAATAAAATGAATAAACAACATGCAAATTATCCATCTACACCGCCCCCGTTGAAGATAAACAAACCTGTAATTTAATCGCACTTCAAGAGGGATTAAATTTCTAAATGAATTGTTGATTCTCGCATATCACTTCCGGTCGTGTCTTTCCCCGGACGTGCAAGGCGAAGCTGGAGGGCAGATTGCAATCATTCGGGGCTGTCTTGCAAAGGTTTATTGATTCCGCCGAATCTCCTGCAGGCTAGTTGCAAAGCGAGCACTGCAAATATTTTGGTTTCTTTCGAGGCGAGGTGTGCGTATGTGTATTTGCGTCTTACTGCCTGTCTCTGCATATCTCTCTTTCTCTCTTTCTCTCTCTCTCTCTCTCTCTCTCTCTCTCTCTCTCTCTCTCTCTCTCTTCTCTCTTTCTCTCTTTCTCTCTTTCTCTCTTTCTCTCTTTCTCTCTTTCTCTCTTTCTCTCTTTCTCTCTTTCTCTCTTTCTCTCTTCTCTCTCTCTTTCTCTTTCTCTTTCTCTTCTCTTTCTCTTTCTCTCTCTCTCTCTCTCTCTCTCTCTCTCTCTCTCTCTCTATATATATATATATATATATATATATATATATATATATATATATATACACACACATATACATATATGTGTGTGTGTGCACATATACGTATATACATATCAATACTTTTAACTTTCTAATATCTATCTGTATGTATATATGTAAATGTATACACATATATTTGTTTATACATACATACATGCATATCTATCCATCCATCCATCCATCCATCTATCTATCATCCATCTATCTATCATCTATCTATCTGTCCTATCTATTTTTTATACATACATACATACACACATACATACATACATGCATGCATATATATACCATGACTGTCTTTTAAGGGAACAACTCAACCGGCTGTTAACAAGACCTCAGGCCGCACCACCGCTGAAGAACAAGCACGAACAAGGTGGTTGAACAATTGAACATCAGCACGAGAATAACAGTCCCGTAATATAACAGTAATATGTGCGGGGATACCAGATATCGCAACGATAATGCAATTGTTATCAAAGCAATAATAAAACAGAGACAGTTATGTGGTAATAAGAAATATGATAGTAGGACTCCTCCTGAATATTAAGTAAAAAGAAAGAAAATATGTAATTGTGATATTTAATATTTGCGTGGTTACCGCCCGTCCCATAAAGAAAAAAAATCTCAGCAAATAAAAATAGAAAAACACAACATAAATGAATTTAAAAAATCATGTAAGGATGCAATGTAACAGTCACAGAATAAAAAAAAAAAAAAAAAACACACACACAAAATAAATAAATAATTTAAAAACTAACAAGGCAGTATGCGATGTGATCAGATAACTTTAAGAAATAAATCAGAAAGAAATAAGCCACAACGTTTTCAAAGCTTAACGTCTGCCATTGGGAAAGTAAAATGTTCAGCTGATCAAAGTCTGTTGATCTCCTTTCAACTCTGATTTGATTAGAGTTAATTTCGTTAATTAGTCTATATACGCACAGGTAAAGGGGTAAACAAAACGCATTAAAAATCAGTCTTTTGGCCTCTTTCGAACTCTATTGAATGAGACAAAAAAAAAAAAAAAAAAAAAAAAAATTAAGGGGGTATTTCAACATATCATCATATATCTATCTACACGTTACTATTTATTCAAAGTATCAAACTCATAAATGTGTATATATCCAAAGCCTTTCTCTGCATCATGAAAGGGGTCAGAACTGCATTCGTATATATGGCATATCTATCTAAACAACATAAAATCGTGAGAAAAAGCGAGCACTGGAAGGTCCTTTCATCAATCCTTTTGCAGTTTATCTAACCCATTAATGAGGTTCGGGAATCATGTTTTTTTAAGGATTAAAACACTTAGTTTACATATATGCGAATACACTTTATTTAGTAGTTCGGTGACATACACACCCGCACACAAACATGCACACAAAACATACACAGACTCAAACACACACTCACACAAAAACAGATTGAGAGAGAAAGAGAGAGAGAGAGAGGAGAGAGAGAGAGAAGAGGAAAGAGAAAGAGAAAGAGAAAGAGATAGAGATAGAGATAGATAGAGATAAGAAGATAGAGATAGAGATAGAGATAGAGATTAGAGATAGAGATAAGAGATAGAGATAGAGATAGAATAGATAGAATAGAGAGATAGAGAAAAGAGATAGAGAAGAGAAAGAGAAAGAGAAGAGAAAAGAAAAGAGAGAGAGAGAGAGAGAGAAGAGAGAGAGAGAGAGAGAGAGAGAGAGAGAGTAAGAGACAGACAGACAGACAGAATTTTCACATAAACGCACCTAATACAAAATCATCATTACTCAAACCATCAAACTACGAAAAAACACACAACAGGAACACCCCCCCCCCCCCCCCCCCATCCCTGGCTATCTAGACGCTAACTATCGCACTTGAAGAGCCCTCAAACAGCAACCTCACTTCAGGAGCACCTATCCCTTACGTCACTGCCTGCCGAGGGTGTGAAATGGGAGAAGCACCGCGAGGGAAAGGCGACCAAGGGACAGCAGAATAAAAAAGGGAGGTACGAGTGGTAGAGGGAGAAGGAGGGAGGTAAGAATGGGGTTTCGTGAATGTATATCAATTTCCTGCATTTCACGTGTGCGATGGGCGCCTTGGGAAGGTGTTGGGGTGCCTTTTTCTTTTTCTTTCTCTTCTCTCTCTTCTCTCTCTCTTCTTCTCTCTCTCTCTCTCTCTCTCTCTCTCGCTCTCGCTCTCGCTCTCGCCTCTCGCTCTCGCTCTCGCTCTCTCTCTCTCTCTCTCTCTCTCTCTCTCTCTCTCTCTCTCTCTCTCTCTCTCTCTCTCTTCCTCTTCGCTCAGAAAATGTAATTGTTTTATGCTTTGATCAAATTCTAGGTCTCATGCCCGGGTTCCTTTGACACCGACCGGATTGTCCTTTCTAATTAATTATCGAGATAGCATCATAATCGCAAATAACTTTCATCTGCCTCCGTTGCTTTCATTGAA